GGTGCTTTAAAGCAATGTTTTCAATTGATGGTATGTGTATACTTATGGGATACAGGAAAAGTTCAAATAGGATGCAAGATTTTCATAAAAATACTAGGAATTCCCTCTCCTCATGTCATCCTGCAAGTTTGAACTACGGATCTGCCCAACTTCTATTTGAGCACCTTCAGGATCTGCCTGCTAAAGTGGCTTAAAATGAGATGGGCTTAAAGGGAGAAGAGCTGCCACATGGCCCATGAGCTCCATGGAAAAGTCTTTGCCCAGAGTCCCTTCAGTTTCTGATCTCCTGGGTGAATAGCCCCTTCTCCTTCTGTCCCACTTTGGAAGGTCTTTCCCCTACATTTCTCTCCCCACAGCTTCCAGTTTTCTTACTTGTTATCACACTTCTCACAAGTGAGCTAAGATTTCATGAAGCAGGAGAGAAGAAAGACTGATGACTCATCCAGGGATATTGCTGACAAAAGGCAACCTTTTCTTTCTTTCTGGAAGAACCCTTATCTCTCTCTGGGTGTCCTAAGAATTTTGATGCTTGGAAAGTAGTTTCAAGTTGCAAGGAAACCAATAGAGAAGAAATGGAATAACAGGTGATCTGGACAAGCCGCTGGGTCTTCTGAAAATTCCTACTAGGAGTGTTTGCAGAGTATGGTCACAAAAGTCAAGATGGCGGCTGTGACGGTGTGATTGAAGCTCTGTCCAGTTTTGTGTTTATTACATGTGCAACACATATTAAAAATGGACAGAGCTTCAGTCACACAACACAACTGCCATCTTGACTTTTTTGACCATACCCTGTGAACACCCTCATTCCTATTTTCAATCTTTTACCTTCTGCCTGGAACTGCTGAGCTGCTCCTGCATCTTTTCACCTGTTGGTTACTTTGCAATAAAGCAAGAAAATAGAGGCAAGCTTGGCAGATAGATTATTTACTGTTATTGTGGGATTGTTTTGACTCACTGTTGTTGTTTTTTTGCCCCTAGGGGAGCACCACTGCATGGCCTCTTCTGGGACAGAAAACCATTTGCAAAATTATTTGGAAAGGTAGGAGAGGATTGCTTGGCAAGGAAGTTACTTTTAAAATTGTTTAAAAGAACATCGTGCTTGTAAACATACATGTCTTTGTAGAAAAAAAGTGGACTTTTTGTTTCTGTCATGGTAGAATACAGGTTACTGGATAGAGTCTTGGTGGGGCATAAAATACGAAAGGCTGAGAACCACTAAGTTAAAATACAGAATGAGTGAAGGAGGGTGGGGTGGGGTAGGATGGAAATCTCATCTCTGCTTTCCATCTCAAAGTGTTTTTATTTTTCCCTTGCCATTTCTTTTCTTTCCTTTTTTCCCCCCCTTCCCTACCAGTGGTTACTTTTAATCAATTTGCTTCAGATAAAAATATCTCTTCATTAGGAGAGAAACAGGTTTTAAAAATATTTGTGGGGAAGGGTTGCTGGTGGGTGGCTTGGTATCGTTAATATCCTCCTTGTTATGAATTCAGACTAGCACAAATATTTGCGGGATTCCGCTGCACATTTTTAATGTGGTCCTGAGTTTGGGGGCAATCAGCTGGCCAAATACGACTCCTACTGCTTGTTGTAGAAAAGGAAGACTAAATCTGTCCTTCCCCTTGGCTTATCTCATTACAGACCAAGTTATTCACGAACACAAGATCTTATGTCAAGCCTTGCAAGATGTCACACGAGAAGCGATGTGCCAAAACTTTGCTCCAGTCATCAGCTCCTGCACGCAAACCCCAGAAGCAATTTCCTGTAGCTCTGGGCTACAAGATGGACCAGGCTTTAATTTCCGAATATGTCCCTATTGTCATACACCCAGGAGGACTGAAGCCTGAGTATCTTAGCTTTGCCTTCTATAACCCTAATTACTCCAATTCATACTCTCCATTTTACACTTTACAAAAACCAACCTGTGGCTATCGGTATTGTCGAGACACTGACCACCGAAGAAAAGTCTTGGATGTTGAGCGAGCAAATATTCCAAAGTGGAGAACTATTGTGGGGAAAAAGCCAGGTGTGGCTTCAGGAGGCACAAAATTCTGATGTGGCCATGCATTTCTTCAGAGACTTTCCTCTATAACAGCATTTTGATTCAAAACCTGAAGTCTGTCATCCTCCCAGCATGTCTAAAAGGAGATGCTGCAGAAGCTTCAAAAGAAAGAGTTCTGCCTTATGGCAAGAGCTTCTGGAACAAACTGCAATGGAATAATCCAAGTCCTCAGGAAAGGTACCGAAGCCAGACTTACTTTGGCTTTGAAACCACAATCTGTGGTTTAACATCTATAGTCACAAAAGCACCAACATGAAGACCAAATGAGCTGTTAACTTTTCTGTCTGTTGCCTTATTTACTATGATATGTTTTTCATTCCCAGAGAAATGGGGAGGACAAAAGCAGAAGCAATTTGAGATTTGCTTTGTTCAGCCAACCATAATTCCAGATATTACAATGAAAGCAAAACCACAACACTTCCCTCAACATCTGTGTAACAGAGCTATATAACATTCACATTAATATTTAGAATCTAATAATTAAGGGAAGCCATCTGTAGGGTAGATGTGGAAGTTAAAAGGCCAGTTTAGTGAGTTATGTATTCAGGTATACTGGATAAAGTAAAAAATAGTAGAGCTGGGAACCTGCTATAGGGCAAGCAAGTTGGGGAAATAAACCATTTTCCAAGCTGCCAGGAACAGAAATGATACAATAGGCTTGATGGTGGAGAACATTGTCAAGGTTTAGTAGTGGAGAAAATAATCACATTTCTAGAATAGCAGTGGGCAAGCTATGGGGTGCATTCCCCTCCTTTAGTATGTCCATGGCCCCACATACATGTGCAAAATGATTGGCCCACACTTGCATCCTGGTTCCACCTATTTGAGCACAGCCCTTGGCCAGTGAAATGGTGCCCATCTTTGCTCTAAAATCATGGTGTACTTGAAGCAAATTTTAAACTCTCCAGCGACATGTTGATCATGTTGGGTTTACAACACCTACTTTACATTGTTCTCTTTTGTTTTATATAAAAAGGTAGAAGTCTCATTGGTTTACAGTTTAGCTCCTAATGTCTTCATGGACATGTTTTGGGAACAGTACAGAAAGATTTGCTCTTACCTTCTTCCAATTTTTTTTTTTTTTTACTTCCCAGTGTAGCCTACAGCCTTAGCATATCCTGGTAGTCTCCCATCCAATTACTAACCAGATCCAGTTCTGTTTAGTTTTTTACTTAAGTGACAGGATCCAGGATTGCATGAGGCCACCTCTTCCTTAATTGACAGACCAAGAGCCTCCATGAAGCTTTTCTTTGTAAGGATCTGACTGGTGTAGCAGAGAGAGGCCTATGCTTCCATGCTGCTGGAGAAGTAAAAGGATGAGCTATTCCTTCCTCCACCTTCTGCTATCTTATGAAAGAGGAGGTTATTCATACTTTTTGTTTGTTTGTTCTGGATTTCTTTTTCCATCTGTTTTATGACAGAACACTTAGGGGTATATAGTTGCTGTCAAATTTCCCTCATGCAAATGTCTTTTGGAGTTATACTTGTTTATGACTCTACCTAGATTACCGCTGGAGGGCAGCATTGATCCCCAGTGAATAGGCTAAATGACCAGGGACTTGCAGAGAGGTGAAGGCAACCCTGGAGCACCAAAAAGTAAATGGAAACCCTTGACTAGGCTGTGTGCAGAGCAGCTTCTAATAAAAGCCAAGTTCAGGTTGGGATTATCAAGTGCTGAATTCTGACGCCAATTGGAACAAATCCTCTGAAGCCTTCTGATTTTGCTAAGGGCTCTCTCTACTACTTAGCAGATATGATAATTCCTTTGCAATAAAGAAGTGTTTCGACCTTGCTCTTGTTCTTTCACAACCTGAAAAAGTGTGTCACAAGGAGCCCTTCTGTCTTCTGTATCTACTGCTCTCAGACTCCTTGATCTTAATACTTCCTTCCAAAGATACAACTTCCATATACAGATGAAGCAACCTTAAAGACCAAGGCTGAGATTTATATTGAAAAGTGGAGGGGATATATTAAAACATTGTTTAGATGTGGCCCTTCACTGATTTCTTGACGAAAATAGGGTACCATTCTCTCCATTCGGTTACATGAATTCTTACAAGAGCTAAGAGCATATGATTTTTTAAAAAAAGTGATTTGAAAGATTTGGCTCAGAATTCCCTAAAACATGATTGATATGAAAGCATTCCAGTCTGTG